TCTTAGACTTTATGAAATAAGATATATTATTTAAATGGAAAAATGATGACATTATGTAACTATAAAACAACAGTGAAGGGGTGCCTGGGTTCAGGTCATGATCTCAGGGTTGAGATCGAGCCCCGTGTTGGGCTCTGTACTAGGCAGGCAGCCTGCTTAAGATTCTCTCTCTCCCTCTGCCCCTCTGCCCCCAACTCACGCTCGCTCACTCTCTCTAAAACAAAACAAATCAAAAAAGGCAACAACAACAGTGAGGATAAGTGAGAGGACAAAAGTAAAAGCCCAAAATGAACTACTACTGCTAGTTTAAGGTTGCCAGATAAAATACAGGTCACCCAGTTAGATTAGAATTTCAGATATGTTCCATATAATATGTGGGATATACTTATACTAAAAAATTATTCATTCTTTGAGATTTGGGTGCCCTGTATTTTTAATTGCTAAATCTGCCAACCCTGTGCTGGTTAGAAATACAAAAGTAGCTTCTCTTTCACAAAGATATTACATAAAGTATTTGTTGCTCACCCTCATATAGGAAGGAGTTACAGGAACATCAATATAGGTTATATATTATGGAATAAAATCTTGTACGTAGAGAAGAAAGGATTCCACAACTGTTTCAGTATTACTTTAGCAATTTAAAAGCTTCATCAAAGTCCAAAATATCCCTGAAATTTACAATCTGATCTATTTTCTTACCTCAGCATAAGCTTTGGCCCATGAACCGGCCAGCTGATGTAAATCTACTTCACCTGATTTCACAGCTTCCAGGGATGCTTCGGCATCTCTGTCATAATCTCTGAGGGATTCTTCTTCTATAAACTGGCTCAGAGCTTCTTTTAAGTCTGTAACAGGGATAAGAAATGCCAACATCAGCAAAATCCTGACGTAAACAGGGAACATTTTACCTGGATAAGCATTCCAATGTGAAATTTTATTTTATCAAGCTTGTATACTTAATACAATAAAACCAGCTTGGGGATCTTTTGACTAGTTTCACAATTATTTTTCTTTACTATTACAGGTTATTGCATTGAAAATGGTCAAAATTCTTATGTATAACCTTGATAGTAATTTAAAACATTACTTTAAGTCTGATTCTTCAGTTTGAAACTGAGCAGATAAAAGCACATGAAGAAAAATCTACAGATTTTGAGGTTCTGAAGGTTACTGTACTTAAATGAAGAAGCTTCCTATATATAGAGTTACAGTCTTTGAATTTGAAAGAGAAATTGAATGATTAGCATATTAAAGTGGATTTAATTGGGATGATCTATAATCCCAGTTTCAGAGACACTACTTAGAGATGATATAATGGAAAAAGCACAGGGACAGAAATCAGGATACTTGTGTTCTGGTTTTGGCTCTGTCACTATGTTTGTAGCTTTAGACCAGTGGTTCTCAATTTTTAGCATGCATTAGAAATCCCTGGAGGGTTTACTGAAATAGATTGCTACATGCCACCCCCAGAGTGTTTGATTCTGAAAGAATGGGGCGAGGCCCAAGAATGTGCATTTCCAACAAGGTTCCAAGTGATGCTGTAGCTTCTGATCAAGGAACAACCTATGGAAACCACTGCCTTAGGCAAACAATTTACCTTTTCAATGTGCTAGTTTCCTTGTTTGTACAATGAGATCGTGTTAAAAAGTTCCTAGATTCCCTTTAACTCTATGATCTAACATGGTCTCAGCTTAAAATGTTTTTCTCATTTCTGACATAGAACACAGACCTTTTAAAAATGATTTAATACAGATGACCTTATGAATTAATTTAGGTAAGCAAAAATTATTCAAAGATTAGTATTCCTTCCCTTCCATGACATCTCAGGAATTGAGGACCAGATCATTAAAAGGGCAATGCATTTGGCAATACAATTCTATAATATCATAATTAGTGATAGCTGAAACGTATCCACCCAACTAAATTAAGAGAGTAAGCATTCTAATCCAAACCTTATAACTAATTTTTCATTATATAAATTGACTTTCATTTATTTATTTTTTAATCTTTTTAAATGTAGGGCTTGAACTCACAGCCCTGAGATCAAGATCTGAGCTGAGATCAAGAGTCAGATGCTTAGTCAACTGAGTCACCCAGGCACCCCTGCAAATTAATTTTTATACTAAATTGCCCAATAAACAACTACAAGGGTTATAGGAAAAAAAACACTCAATAACAAAGGCCTGGGGAATTTTTTTATTCTAGGAAGCAGTTAAGCACTTCATATTTTATGGTTGTTTCAAGCTTCTCAGGCTTAAGCTTTCTAATATGAAATGTCTAAGGAAAGAGACTATCAGAAAATAATAAAGTGTAATTAATAATAAAGTATTTAAAAAAATCAGTCCTCAGGGTGCCTCAGTGGCTCGCTGGTTAAGTGTCTGACTCTTGATTTTGGCTCAGGTCATGATCTCATGGGTCATGAGATTGAGCCCAGTGTTGGGCTCCATGCTCAGTGAGGAGTCTGCCTGAAGATTCTCTCCCTTTACCCCTCCCTCCACTTGCACACACATGCGTGTTGCTCTCTCTCTCAAATAAATAAATCAATCTTTCAAAAAAAAAATCAGTCCTTGGAGTGCCTGGGTGGCTAAGCCGATTAAGTGTCCAACTCTTGGTTTTGGCTCAGGTCATGATCTCATGGGTCATGAGATGGAGCCCCATGTTGGGCTCTGTGCTCAGCGGGCAGTTAGCTTGAAGATTCTCTCCCTCTGCCCCTCCCCCACCCCCACATGCTCACTCTCTCTCTCTCTCTCTAAAATAAACAAATAAGCCTTTAAAAAATCAGTTCTCACCTTTTTCTATAAAGCATGGTAAACTGTGCAGCAGCATCAGACGCCCATGTAAATGACTGGCATTCTCTTGAATAGGAAATTTGAGGGGCACCCTCAGTTCTAAGCACTGACTTCCTACTTTGAATTCATATACAAATTCCCTCTCTCTGTTGCAGAATCTTTCTCTGCTTTTCTTCATCTTCTTTGGCAGGATTTCTATAAACAAACAAACAAAAGCCCAGCAGATCATAAGTCCATAAAAATCATAATGTTTCCTTATTGTTGTACCACTTCTAAGAAAATGTTCCACCACTCAGTGATTTTGTTTGTGTGACTCAAAGCTAATTATTCTAGGTTTTCCTACCTTTATCCCTGCATTTTCACCTTCATGAAGGAAATGAAGTGCTTCTTTTTTTTTAATGAAAAAAGTTCCTTTTAAACTTCACTTAGGAAAAAAAAAAATTGTGCCCATAAAGTATTTTGCACTCCTAGGCAGTGTTCTCAAGAATAGAGAGAGAACATGGAGGGAAGAGCAGAGAAGATTTTTAGGGAGAGATGAATGGGTAGACAGATACAGAGTTATGAAACAACTGGTGAATACAAAGTCAAAGAAACAGATCAGGGACCAAGAAGCGATCTTGAAGATCTTCGATGTTATGAGATCTTATTGGGCACAGATGGAAGAAAGATGGTGTTGGAAAGATTTCCATGTGGGAAAAAGACATACAAGAAAAGGTAAATTGGACACTTTTCAAAAAGAAGAAAATCTGGCACAAAGAGTAAGAATCAATATCAATTGAGGATATTTATCAGCCTCCTTGCTAAACTCCATCTCTACACTTTTCACCATCAAAACAGTTTTCCTAGTATTCTCTATACTGAAGTTATAGTAATCTTTCCAAAGTGCCTATCTGGTCATGTTGCTCATCTGCTTAAAAACTTTTGATCATATTCCATTGTTCTCAGGATAAAATTCAAACTCCTTTACCCAGTATACAGTGTTTATATTTCCAGACTCTTTCCCCCAGCACCTGCATCCCCTCATCTGCAACACACAAATTCACAAACCATTTTCCAGTCATACTGAGCTCTTTTCAACACCAAACCTCTCTTTCCACTTCCAACCATTTTGAACGCTTTTTCTTTGCCTAGAGCACTCTTACTGCTTTTGTTTCCTTGGATAACAGCTACTCATTCTTCAGGTTTCAGCTTAGATGGGCACCGGAGAATCTTTTAATTTGTAAGATTATCATAAGGATTAGTCGAATAATAAATACGAAGCATCTGACAAACAAGATGATCAATAGATGAAGGCTAGTAATAATAATAAAAGTTCTCTAAGGACATAATAAAAAAATCACAGGTTGCTGAATGAGTATACATGATGAAGACAAAGGCAGTACGGGAACACTGTAAAAGGGAACTGAAGTTACGGATAAATGGGTTATGATCTAATCTTGTTTAGATTCAATATTTTCGGTCAACAAAAACCATGAGCTCCGGTTTCAAACGGCTCAACATTTAAACTTATTATGTCTCAACAAACTGAAACTTTAGTTCCCTTCTTTAGTTCCCTTTAGTTCCACTTTAATTTTTTTTTTTTTTTTTTTTTTTGCAGGGGTGAAATTAAGGAAGGTTTCCCAGGCAAAATTGGGATGGGAGGAAGAGGGCTGGACCGAACTCCTGCCGCCAACAGAGCGCAGGTTCTGAGTGCAGGAAAGGGAGGGCAGGCTGCCGGCGCGAAAAGCTCCAGCCGAGTGAGAACACCAGCTCCATTAGGCGGTTTCAGTCTCAAGGGGATTCCTCGCTCGTGGTTCTGGGCTCACCTTCCCTAGTTCCGAAGTCCTGAGCTGACCGCACACTCCGAGCTGTCAATGAGCTGGGGCACAGGGAACATCAGCTGACTTACCCACTTGTTTTTACATTTAACAGATCCGCTTCAGCAGATTCGCCCATATTTTTTCCTCTTTCCCGGCACTCTATAGAAAATTCCTCCGTCTAAGTGCGCCGTTTTTCCATCCTGCCTCAATTTAGTCATTTAAAAATGTAATAAGGTGTATTTCTACTGTTACTGTGAGTTTCAGAGAAGGCGCAAAAAAAAAAAAAAAAAAAAGGACTCCATTGTCGTGGCGAAAGTGCAAAGGCAAAGCACAAACTCAGCTTTGATAGACCGGATGCGGAAGGGCAATGCCTTGGGAACGGCGAGAGCACGCAGGTCTTCTCAGAGCGCATGCGCAGTTGCAAGGATGGCTGGTAATCATTGGAGGGCTGGTGGCAGGGGGCGGAGAGCGCCTGTGTCTGGTTTTGGGCGGGAATTGAAACCGACGCTGCGGCCAACAAGAACTTGAAAGCTGCGAATTTTCTGCATTGGAGGAGGCCATGGTGCGGCCTGTGAGGTGAGTAGTTCGCGACAGCGGCGGGGATGGGGAGAAAAGTCAGGAAGACGCTGTAGGCAACTTCGTCTATACACGATTGAGGGGAAAGGGCCGAATAGGACGGAGGGTAGCGAAGGTGGGGTGGGATGGACGGTTTCTGGGAAGCTCTCCGGTCTCCGCTGGGAGTCACCCAATCCGCAGACGTATCCTAGCATGCTAGCTTTTCCCTTCTCTTTGCCCCCCTTCGCAGCACTTGCGGATTCTTTTACCCACCCCATTCAAAGAAGCCCTGGTTTTGTTAGCGTTCGAACAGCGCTTTACATTTCACCGAGCTCCTACTTACGTGTTATTTCGTTTTTTTCATTACTGTAGTTCTTTGATATAACAGTTTAGGTATCCCTGTTTTTATCGATTTAAACTCCTAGGCCAGTTTAGGTGAGTCACATAGCTAGTGAGTGGCAGGATAACACTCAAACCTAAATCATCTGGCTCCAGATCCTCTGTGCTTTCCATTATACGCTTTGAAACTGTTCCCCTACTTAACCACAGTGGAGTGCTATGGAGGCCTAGAGTCAGCCATTCATTTAGAAAGTTACTTGTATACTGTACTAATTGTGGGAGGTTACATTCTAGTCAAGGGGTAAGGTTAGGGGGGCCACAAATAAATACTGCGAAGTGATGGAGAGTGAGAAGGAGGAAAATCTTATTTTATTTTATTTTTTTAAAGATTTTATTTATTTATTTGACAGAGAGAGACACAGCGAGAGAGGGAACACAAGCAGGGGGAGTGGAGAGGGAGAAGCAGGCTTCCCACTGAGCAGGGCGCCCGATGCGGGGCTCGATCCCAGGACCCTGGGATCATGACCTGAGCTGAAGGCAGACGCTTAACGACTGAGCCACCCAAGCGCCCGGAAAATCTTATTTTAAATAGTGTAGTTAGGATGTGCCTCTCTTGCAGAGATAATACATGATCAGAGATATGAATGATGAGAAGGAGCTAGCCAGTGAAAATCTGGGACAATCCAGGTAGAGGTGAACAAGAGCCAAGGCCCTGAGCTTGACTATGTTTGAGGAGCAGAAAGAAGGCCACTAAAGCTGTAGCATTAGCAAGCAGTGGGGAGAATTGTAGGGGATTAGGTCAGAGAAATAGGCAGGGGCTAGAGTAGGTAGGACCTTGTAGGCTTCAAAAAGGAGTTTGAATTTTATTCTATGTACAATGGGAAGCCAATGGAGAGTTTTAAGTAGAGCAAGGAAATCTAATTTTGGTTTTATAAAGTTCACTGGCTTCTGGTGGAGAAAGAATGGAAGATGGGGTGACCAGAATGGGAAGAGGGAAACTGCTATATCATTGGATAGTGGTTTGGAGTAGGGTGTTACCAGTGGACATGGAATGGGACAGATGAATTTGAGATATATTTTGGAGATACTGCTGACAGAATTTGCTGATGAAGTGGATGTAGAGGTGGGGAAAAAAGAATCAAGGATGATTTCACAGTATTTCTGGCCTGAGCTACTTGAATGGATGATCTTTGTACTAACCAAGGTGGGGAAGACTAGGAAAGGGAACAGGTTCAGGAGGTGTGGGGGATCAGGAGTTCCATTTTGAGCACATGAAGTCTGAAATGGATTTTAAACACCCAAGTAGCAAAGACATAATCCCCTTGTCTGGAATAGCAGTTGTCAAAGTACCATCTACAGACCCCTAGGGTTCCTGAAACCTTCTAAGGAGGTCCATGAGGCCAAAACTATTTTCATAGTAATCCTGAGACATTGCTCGCTTTATTCGTTGTTCTGTCATCTGCACTGCAATGGTGGCATAACTGCTGGAACCTCAGCACAAATCAAGGCAGTGGCACCAAACTGCACGAGTATCTTTGTATTCTTTACTGCTGCACACTCAGAGTACAAAAAAAAAAAAAAAAAGAGAGAAAATGCTAGTTTCACTTAAGAATGTTTGATGAAGCAGTAAGAATTCTCATATTCGTTATAGCTCAACTGTTGAGCATACTTCTTTTTTTAAGAGGTTTTATTATATTTTACTATTATTCAGTCTTCAGAGTTTCTAAAGGGGTTTTCGTATTTTATTCAGCTTTCAAATTCTTTAACTCCAAAGATTAGGAGAGTAATAAGAGTTACATATATACACATAAACTACTACAGTGTTTCTCTTCAGGGAAAGCACTTATGAGATTGAGTTGGGAGCTGAGCTGACTTCTTTTCCATAGAACACCATTTTACTTGAAAGAACAACTGGCCTACTAGGTTATTCACACTTGGGTATTTGGCAAAAGGTAGAAAAGGAAACCACAATGCCATTTCATTTAGTGCCTAGAGGGAAGGGGGAAGAAAGTGAGTTTATTTTTTCCACTTTGAATATCACTTTCTTCTAATGGCTCTCTAAAGTAGTAAAAGATTTGTTTCAGGTGGCAGGTGCAAAGTCACTCACCATTGTTTTGCTGTCCAGTGCATAAAGAACATTATTTTGTATTGTGGGAAGATTAAAAAAAGAGAAAATAGCTTTCAGTGTCAAGTTTTTAATAAGACAGAATGTGCACATAAAACAAAAGAATACGTATAACAGGAACTTATAAGTACCTCACAGCAATTACACAGTATGTAAATTATGTTCATGATATTGATTATTTTTACTTTGAACTCATTTTTTCCTTATCAGGTATATCAAGTATGGTTGTAATTATTTCAGCTAATGCTAAGTTCCAAATGTAAAATCCAGCTCGTGTTTCAAGTTTAAGTATTCTTAAGAGAATCGAAACACATTTTCCTTTACTCAAGACTGTTTATGGTCTTAAGGATTGGAGGTGGGAAATTGGTATTTGTGTAATTAAAAAATTTCTCTCTTGGTCATAGGCATAAGAAACCAGTCAATTATTCACAGTTTGAGAATTCTGACAGCGATGGTAAGTGGAGATTCATATTTTTGCTTTAAAAATTTGGAAATTTATTTTCTCAGAATTTATATGACATATAGAACTCTAACATTGAACATATTGCACAATTGTATATGAGCTAGGGCTGCAAAAATGATCTTCTAAGCATTTGGGATGATTATGCTGATAATTACACTGATAAGAATTATGTGGGTAAGTGATAAATGAACAGGGCCAGGTGAAATGGCTCTTTAGATCTAAACTATTCTAGGTTCATGTTTCTCATAGTGGGATTTGTCTCCTCCTATCCCTTTCCTTAAGAAGAAACACATTGTCTTTTGAAACACAAATGTGTTACAGAATATAATGTGAAATCTCCATTAATTGTACAATAAAACAAGATTTTATATACCACATATTCTTTGTCCATTCATCGGTCAGTGGACATTTGGGCTTTTTCCATAATTTGGCTGTTGTAAATAATGCTGGTATGAACATCAGGGTGCATATATCCCTTCAAATTAGTATTTTTGTATCCTTTGGGTAAATACCTACTAGTGCAATTGCTGGATCATATATTACTCAGCCATAAAGAAGAATGAAATCTTACATTTGCAATGACATGGATAGAGCTAGAGTGTATTATGCTAAGTGAAATACATCAGAGAAAGAAATACCATATGGTCTCACTCATGTGGAATTTTAAAAACAAAACAAATGAACATGGTGGGGGGAAGAGAGGCAAACCAAGAAATAGACTCTTTTTTTTTTTTAAATTTTATTTATTTGACAGAGAGAGACCAGCGAGAGAGGGTACACAAGCAGAGGGAGTGGGAGAGGGAGAAGCAGGCTTCCTGCAGAGCAGGGAGCCTGATGCGGGGCTCAGTCCTAGGACCTTGGGATCATGACCTGAGCCAAAGGCAGACGCTTAACGACTGAGCCACCCAGGCTGCCCAAGAAATAAACTCTTAACTATAGAGAACAAACTGATGGTTACCAGAGTGGGGCTGGGAGGGGGCGGTGCGGGGGAAATAGGTGATGGGGATTAAGGAGGGCACCACTTGTGATGCGTGCTGGGTGTTGATTATAAGTGTTGAATCACTAAATTCTAATAAACACCACTGTATGTTAACTAACAGGAATTTAAATAAAAACTTGGAAGAAAAAAAAAAGACCTCGAAGAAAGGCTAGGAGTAAGCTATACCCTATTGGGTTATGTATTTTTTTTGTCTCTGCTATTAAGGGAATTTTGGTCAGAAAGTGTGAGAAACATTTAGTGAGATTACATTATACTTCTGAAGTAGGTTCTGTATTTCTCAGACCACCAGAGCTTTCTGTGAGTCAAATGTTTTGTAATCCTGAGGTTTGAAGGAACCTGTTTTTTGCATTGGGCTCAACCATAAGTGTGTCTAAAACTTGGGAGAAAATTGTAGAGACTCTAACTTGTAGCTTTTTATGTCGTTACCAGTAGGTCAGTAGATTTTTATAAATTGCCAGTTGTGTTCTAGACATCATGGAGTGGAGGTGGGGGGACAAGCCACAACTTATCATATTCCTACCCTGGGAATCTTGAAAGAGACAAGATGTATTAATACTAATGCTGCAATTAAGACTACACGTGCCTGGAAGTTATGCACGCGTGTGTCACACATGAGTATAAAAGCTATAGCAGCAGTTTTTTTTTTTTCCCAAAGATTTATTTATTTATTTGAGAGAGCGAGAGAGAGTACATGAGAGGAGGGAGGGTTAGAGGGAGAAGTAGGCTCCTTGCTGAGCAGGGAGCCCGATGCAGGACTTGATCCAGGGACTCCAGGATCATGACCTGAGCCGAAGGCAGTCGCTTAACCAACTGAGCCACCCAGGTGCCCCTATAGCAGCAGTTTTATGTTGAGTCTCACCGGAACTGTATCAGTTTTTGCTAGACTGATAATTTCATAAATAAAGGCCACGACGACAAAGTTGAAAAGCATGAGTGAGAATAAAGATAAAATAATATGCCAACCCCATTTTTTACGTTGTGGCAGTTAAACAATTTTTTTAATGTTTAAAACTTGAACACACACTGTAATGAATTTCAACTGCTCGGAAATTGTTTTTATTTCTTACTTATGAAAAGCAATGTCATAGATTCTTTTATTTTTGCTTCACACATAAATAGATGACTTTGTTTCTGCAACTGCACCTTTAAATAAGAAACCCAGAACAACACCAAAGGAGTTAAAACTAGAAACAAGGAAACCTAAACTGAAGAATCTCCAGAAAGAAGATATCTCACTACAAGAGAAAACCCCTAAAAAAAGGTGAGAGGTATGCCATATAGTAAATATACATTAGATGTGTTAATTTAAGAGAGGGACAGATTTGAACTCCTGGTTTAAATTATTACTTGAGCAGAGTCCTAGGTATTATTTTATTTAGTGGGTGTAAGAGAACAGGGATGTACCATTAATCCCCTTCTGACTTTCTGCCTTAAAAAAGAAATTCACAGACACGTAAGGAAATACTCATTTAAGTATTAAGATAATCATAATTACAAGGTTTAGGAGTTACCCCTTACTTTGATAGGACTCTGTACCTGTCTCTAAAGTCCTCAAGTCTTATAAGACTACTTTGTTAAAAATTACATTTGTAAGGATAATCTTATAAAAATTAAAACCATGTATTTTTCGGTAGATAAAAGATATTTTCTCTTTATATTGTTGAGACTTGTCCAGCGATGAGAAGGTCCTATAGTTTGTAGACTATAGGATTTCCATTAGTTAGTACCAAGAGAGAAGAGAGAATGAGAGAAGGAAGTCCCGAGAGGCCCCAAACCTGTAGTATGGAGAGGAGGTGGGCAGAAGGGGAGTATTAACAAATGGAACTTGAGGTATGATACGGTTCACTGCTGTGAGTATGAGAAAAGTTCATTAACATAGAGAAATTTACCCCATGTCCTGCTCTTTACTTTTTTCTCTTTTTCGTTTATGTTTTCGAGCTCCTTGTACTACATTTTAAATACAGTGAAAAAATAGCCTACAAATGGGAGAGAATATTTCCCAATCATATAATTGATGAGGGATTTGTATTCAGAATATATAAAGAACTCTTTTTTTTTTTTTAAAGATTTTATTTATTTATTCATGAGAGACAGAGAGAGAGAGAAAGAGAGAGAGGCAGAGGGAGAAGCAGGCTCCCAAGGAGCAGAGAGCCCGATGCGGGACTCGATCCCAGGATCCTGGGATCATGACCTGAGCCGAAGGCAGACGCTTAACCATCTGAGCCACCCAGGCGCCCTATATAAAGAACTCTTACAACTCAACAATAAAAGACTAATAACCCAGTTTACAAAATGGGCAAAGGATTTGAGTAGACATTTCTCCAAAGAAGATCTACAGTTGGCAAATAAGCACATAAAAGATGCTTGACATTCTTAGCCATCAGGGAAGTGCAAATCAAAACTGTGTTGAGACGGTACTTCACACCCACACCCACTGGGATGGCCATAATCAAAAAGACAGACAACAGCCAGTGTTAAAGAGGATGTGGAGCAATTGGAACTCTGACACATTGTTGCTGGGGATATAAAATGGTGCAGCCACATTGGAAAGCAGAGTTAGCAGTTCCTCCAAATGTTAAACACAGAGTTATTTTATAACCCAGCCTAGGTATATACCCAGGAGAAATGAAAACATATACCCACACAAAAACTTGGACATGAAGGTTCATAGCATTATTCATAATAGCCAAAAAATGGAAGCAATCCAAATGTCTACCAACTGGTGAATGGGTAAATAAAATATGGTCTGTCCATACACTGCAATATCATTCAGCAATAAAAAGAAGTCCTGATATATGCTACAACATGGATGGACCTTGAAAACATGCTGAGCAAAAGCAGCCAGACATAAAAGTCCACGTGTATGATTCCATTGATATGAAATGTTTGGAACAGGTGAGTCCATAGAAACAGAAAGTAGATTAGTGGTTGCCAGGTGCTGGGGAGGGGTAAGCAGGGAGTGACTGCTAATGGATATAGGGGTTTTTTGGGGGGTGATGAAAATATTCTGAAATTAGATAGCAGTGATGATTTCTCAACTCTGAATATACTATAGACTGCTGAATTGTACACTTTAAAAGGATGAGTTTTATGCTATGTGAATTATATCTCAATAAAACTTGTTTTTAGAAAATAATAAATCCCTCGAGGTGCATCTCAGTATTTCGTCCTTTATGTAACCTTTTTTTTTTTTTTAAATCTTTGATTTCTTTTCTTACCATAGCACTTTTGACCACCTTGAATAGGAGATGATAATAATAATAATAATCTGCATATGTAGTATAATTATTAGTATGTCTTATTTCCCTACCGTCCTCATTAATTGCAGATTCCTTGAGGGTACTTTTAGTATTCTATCTAGTGTGTGCCTCATACACAGTAAGTACTTGGTGACATATTTGTTAAAGTTGGGATTGGGAGGAACAGATGTTAAAAACCAGTTTAATGTAAGAGCTATAATACTTGTCTAGGGAGATGTGAGTGAGGTCAAAGAAGATTTCTAAGTGGGTTTTTGAGCCATGTCTTTATTCTGGGTTGAACAGCTGCTTGGAGTTGGTAGTAAGGACTGACATTACAGAGAAAAGAAACAGTACTTAACAATGGTGCTTACTGCTCTTCTTTTCAGTTTCTTGTGCTAGATGTAACATGACATTACTACATATTAGCAGTGTTGTCAGTAAAGTCAATTATGATCATTATTACTGTTTAAAAACATTTTTGTTAGTTGGTAGCTCTTAAATAGTAATTTAGGAAAATCACAGATTTTGCTGCTTGGTTGAGATTGGTATTTTTGTAAAAACTCATTTTTGTTTGTGTGTCCACCTTAGGATGGCTTTAGATGACAAGCTCTACCAGCGAGACTTAGAAGTCGCACTAGCTTTATCAGTGAAGGAACTTTCAACAGTCACCATTGATGTGGAAGAGGCTCAAGATAAAAGTAACTTTATTTTCCATATATTTATCTTTATAACCTTGTGTTTTTGTCATCATTTCTCTGGATAAGCCTTCACAGAGGAAAGAGTAAAATTTTAATACTATGGACAACAAATGGAGCAGTTTGTAGAGGGCACAATTAGATTCGGTTGTTTATTCTGCTGCATAAATCTACGTGTCCCCCTCCCCCCCCACATATCTCTGCTAAACACTTAATGTAAACTTGTGGTCATGGACTATGAGCTTGGATGTTCAAGCTACATTTTTGTTTACAGTGGAAATTTAATTTCTTGATCAAATGAATTGGTCTAAACAATCCTAACAATCCACCTGTTTTCTCTCAAAATTCAAATCCGTTAAACATGAGCTGGTGGTGGTAGTTTTTATTATTTACAGGTTAAAGATACTAGTTTGGTTAGCAAGCTCAGCAGGCATAAGAGATGTGTGACTTGTGGATTTCTCTGGGTTTTTCTCCTTCGATTTTTCTGGCAACTGTGCAGCAGATGGCAATATTGATACTCTGGAGAGGCAGAAATCGTTATTCCTGGAAAAGATATTCAAACTGTTAAAATACTTTTTGGGTGAAATTGTTTTGGCTTAACTTGTGTTGGAGGATATTTTTTTTAAATTTTTTATTGTTATGTTAATCACCATACATTACATCATTAGTTTTTGATGTAGTGTTCCATGATTCATTGTTTGTGCATAACACCCAGTGCTCCACACAGAACATGCCATCTTTAATACCCATCACCAGACTAACCCATCCCCCCACGCTCCTCCCCTCTAGAACCCTCAGTTTGTTTTTCAGAGTCCATCGTCTCTCATGGTTCGTCTCCCCCTCCGACTTACTCCCCTTCATTCTTCCCCTCCTGCTATCTTCTTCTTGTTCTTTTTTCTTAACTTATGTTGCATTATTTGTTTCAGAAGTACAGATCTGTGATTCAACAGTCTTGCACAATTCACAGCGCGCACCATAGCACATACCCTCCCCAATGTCTATCACCCAGCCACCCCATCCCTCCCATCCCTCACCACTCCAGCAACACTCAGTTTGTTTCCTGAGATTAAGAATTCCTCCTATCAGTGAGGTCATATGATACATGTCTTTCTCTGATTGACTTATTTCACTCAGCATAACACCCGTGTTGGAGGATATTTTTAACTTATTAGCTTATTTAGGGGTATAGATGTTTAAATCAGTATTGTCTCCTATTTGGAAATGAATGAGACACTGTTGATTAGGGAGCCATTTAGTAATCAGGAAATCAAAGAAATGTAAAAAGAGAATTATTTTATATCCAAAAATTGAGAAAATGAAATTCATCTCTCTCCAGTAAGAGAGGGTAGAATACATAGCAGGATTTCCTTGGAAGTACCACTTCTCATAGATGAATGCCCTTTATAGCAATGGGATTTAATAGTACCAATTATCATGACTTAAAGTCCTCTTGAAATACTTTAAATCATTTTAAGATTATTATAATAATTGAAGAGGCTTTGTTAGTATGAGCATGTATCAGCCTACATGGAAATGATAGTTAATATTTATTGACTGTTTTCTATGTGCTGGGCACTACAATAAGCAATTCCTACATGTTATCGACATTTAATGCCCCACAATAAACCCAATTATTCCACACACTGTTTTTTATCTCCAGATTATAGATGAAGACATTAAGTCTTAGAGAGGATAAGCAACTTTCCTGTGGCCATATAGCCAATATAAGTGATAGAACCTGAATTTCAACTGAAGTCTAAGTCTGTATGATTTCAGAGCCCAAACTCCTAACCATATGCTAACCTTTCCAAGGTAAATCATTGTGCTCTGAATTTGGATCATTCATCTGTATCTGGTTGCTTTTACATTGGAGCACCAATTTTCCTATTTCTGCCCCTTGGCTGATTAAGGTGCCTCTATCTTTTTCCTTCTTCCTTGTCTTTAGGCACTGAAAAATGTGGCAGCAGCGAAACCGGAACAACGAATAAGGCTCCCCATATCTCCAATTGCAGTGTAGCCAGTGATTATTTAGGTAAGTTTTGATATTAATAATAATATTTACTTTTTCTGTCAACATTGCTATTATTCTGACTTTGATTTAAATACCTGACATGGTAGCTAGAACCAAGATATTTAAATTTGTCAACGTTCCTTTCACCGCGTCTCCTTTATTTCTTTGTGTTTTAGTTTTCTTACCTTTTACTGCAGACCCATTTTTCTTTTCTTCCCTGGGGGAGGGTCATCATGACCCCTGACTTCAGTTGACCACTGAAGAAAGGGGCTGCATCTTCCCCCTCCAGTTTTTACTGTTTCTTGGGGAAGGAATCCTCAGTTGAGTCTCGCACTTATCCTTAAACTGGACTCTTTTGTCAGGAGGCGGAGGTACTGAGATTGACCCAGGTTGGACGCTGTGGTCTCTCAGAAGCAGTGAAGGGACGAAGCGGGGCAAATAAAAACAACAGATGTGATAGAAGTCTATTCTGCAGTTCTTGCAATATTACCTGTCACAAAAAGTTTTCCGTTGATTTTTACGCCTCTTCTGAAGATTTGGATAAGATTACCGAGGAAGATGATTTTCACAGTGCTCAAGGGAAAAGAAAAGCAGCATCAAAAGCTGTGGTACAACAGAGGAAGATTCTTTTGGACGGTAGTGATGGTGATAGTGCTAATGACTCTGAACCAGACTCTGCAACTGGTGAGTGATAGCCTACCTCAAAATTAAGCCTACGGAAATTCAGTAAAAAGTTCTTAAGAGATCATTAATGTATACAAAGCACTGTGCTAAATGTTTGGTGTATGCAAACTTGAGGAACATACAGGACAGTTAAATTCAGCTCTGCCATTTGGCGAGAAAGCTTTATGTGGAGGTGACCTTTAAGCTGTGGCTTGAAAAATGAGTAGCATTTAGGCAAAATAACAGGGTAAAATAGCATTTCTGACTGAGAGGAAGGCGTAAACAGTGGAATAGACAAGGACACATACAAGAAGTCAGTGAGCCTGCAGGAGAGAGTGTTGTAGAAGAGGCTAAAGAGGCAGGCTGGCACAAGATCATGGAGGGTCTCAGACCCACTCTGAGAAGTGTAGACTTTTTCTGTAGATAGTGGAAATTCATGACATATTTTGGGACTGAAGTGACATGAAACCTGTATCTTATTGTGACATGTTTTCAGACTCATTCAGAAATTAGGGCAGATGGGAAGCATAGTGACCTTGACAGAGCATCATAATAATTAAAATTTAAAATGAGTAAATCCATAAATTTGTGCCAAATCAGATGATATAGTTTGATAGATTTTAACATGCTCTTGACAAATGGTTTTGTTGATCAACATTCTGTAAATATTTGAGTATCTGTGCATTATATTCTAGACACTTAGGAATACAGCAGTGAACAACAACAACAAAAAACCAGAGCTCCCTTAAGGAGCTTGAATTCGAGCAAGGGGACACAGATAGTAATGAAATGTAGAACGAGTCCAGTGTCATCATAGAAGAGCCGTGAAGAAGAGAAAGGCAGGGCAGAGGCCAGAAATCTGCCTTTTGAACCAGTCTCTGCCATTTTACATGACCCAGGTCATGCCAAAGCAGGCGGTCTAGGGGTCCTGCTTGGAGAAGCACGGACATAAGCAGAGCACCAGAAAGCAGGAGCCAGTGAAAGAAAACACCCTGAAGAAATAGTATAGGAGAGCACGGGCTGAATGCTTCCCAACTGAAGGTTATTGAATACAAAAAAGCCCCAATTGATAAAAATAACCCCTTGTCAGTTTAAGTGTCTTTCAGGGGTGATGATCGTAGCACTTCTAGAATGTCCTTATCATTATCTGATGCACGCTTGTCAGAAAAATCCATAAACAATTTTAAAGTTATAGATTGCAAGTCTACTCAGCATGCCAATGAAATCAGTTTATCTTTAGTAATGGTTCAAATGTGTGCTTTCTATGTGGAAGTGAAATCACTTGCTCTGTTGGCTGGGTTTATATGGGTTATGTTTCAGGTATGATAGAGATTTAATAGAGAGTGTTATTTGCATTCTAACTTCAGATAGTCTCTCTCGAATCCTTTTATAAAAATAAGTTTTTATTGGAATTGTAATTTGGATAGTGACTTAAAAGTCACCTGTATGCCTTTAAAAGTAGTTAAAATCTCTAAAGATAATATACAAATGGCCGAAAAACATATGAAAAGATGCCCAATATCAGTATCATTAGGGAAGTACAAATCAGTCAGAATGAGATGTCATCCCACACCCATTAGGATGTCAAAAAACAGAAAATAACAAGTGTTGGTGGGGATGTGGAGAACTTAGAACCCTTGAGCGCTAGTAGTGGCATTTCCGGTGTGGAAAACAGGACCACAGGTCCTCAAAAAATTAAAAATAGAAGTATCATATGATCTAGCAATCCCACTTCTGGGTTTATATCCCAGAAGAATTGAAAGCAGGGTCTCAGATATTTGCACACCTGTGTATATAGCAGCATTCTTCACAATAGCTAAGAGATGGAAGGAACCCAAATGCCCATCAGCAGATTAATGGATAAACACCATGTGGTCTCATGTACAGTGGGATATTCAGCCTTGAAAAGGAAGGAAATCCTGTCATGTGCTGCAGTTTGGATGGACCTTAATTAAGGACTTTATGCTAGGTGAAATAAGCCAGGCACAGAAGACAAATACTGTGTGATTCCACTTAGAAGAGGTATCTAAAATAGTCAAATTCATAGAAACAAAGTAGAATGGTGGTTAGCAGAGACTGGGGAGAGGCAGGAATGGGAGTTGTTTAATGGGTACAGTTTCAGTTTTGCAAGATGAAAAGGTTCCAAGTCTGTTGCACAACAATGTGAGTATGTTCAACACTACTGAACTCCACACGTAAAAAGGATTAAGATAGTAAATTTTGTTAGTGTGTGTTTTCTTTTTTTACCACAATTAGAAATTTTTTTAAAAGAAGGAAATAGTCATTTTTTTAAAAGTAACTGGTTTGGTTCCAAGTTGTTTTTCTTATTCAATTTTGCATAAACAAATATTTTTGAGATGAAATATGAGCCACAGTACTGAAAGAGGAATAGATTTAATTTCAAGTTCTGTACAGTTGAATGGTGATTTAGGATATAGAAAACACTGAAAATAGGAAAGAAAACATTTATTGAAATATGTGCTTCTGAAGTTATGCTGGATGTGAGGACTGCAAAAAAAATTTCTAACAAAATTATTCTCACTTCCTTTGGACGGATTCAAGACCTGTTAACCTGGGGGGAAATGTACTTGTCAAATGGTGATTTTACTGTGAATTCTGATAATGAGGGTCATTATCATTATAACTAAGACAGTAGTCACTACAGGAAGCTGTTGCAACAGTGACTTGTCAATAAATGGAATGTCTTAATCCTTGGATCTGAGACTGGTTAGGACACTGGGAGAAAATAATGCAAATTGTTTACATAGTAGTATACATTCTTAGGTTCTAAGAAGTATCCCCTATCTAGCGTCATTTGTGTACTAAAATGACTGCTACTTCTCCAGCTCTTTGAGAGCTGGTTTGGTTTTTTTCCCCTGTTATATTGTTATGGTTTCCACCAAACTACAAGTATGGCTCTTCTCCCTATGAAATGCCATGTGGTCCACCCTGGGAAGCAGTCCTTCTGTTAGAGGGAGCTGGCTCATTAGCTGTGGTGAGAACTGCCCACTGGCCTGTGCCATGGATACACTAAGCTTTAGACAGAATTTTCTCCTTGTCTCTCTAACTTTTTCTGTCCCCTACTGGAGCATGCAAAAGCCTTATACTGTCTTCTGCCTGTGTAAGCCTCCTTAAACTCTTCCAGCCAAGCCTGCTTTACCTTTAAGTTGAAAGATAAACCTGTTCCTCTTCATGTTTAGTGTACTTTAAGGGGCAGTACAATCAGTGTATTTTCTTTCACCCTAAGCCAGCGATGACTGGCAACTCTCCAGTGCCCTCAGAGTGATTGTCTATTGCACTTGAATGTGTAACTGGTATCATTTCAGACAACCTGAAGTTATTTTGGAGCAGGATCCTTTTCTTTAGGTGACATGTCAGAATTCTCCCCCTGTACTGATTCACCCTAGATGAGAAGAAGGATCATTGTGACCTTCAGGAGAGAAACAAAAATGAAAATTGGAGAGAACAAAGACTTTTTTTTTCTTTCTTTTTTTTTTATTATGTTATGGTAATCACCATACATTACATCATTAGTTTTTGATGTAGTGTTCCATGATTCATTGTTCGCTTATAACACCCAGTGCTCCATGCAGAATGTGCCCTCTTTAATACCCATCACCAGGCTAACTAGTCCCCCCAACCTTCTCCCCTCTAGAACCCTCAGTTTGTTTCTCAGGGTCCATAGTCTCTCATGGTTCTTCTCCCCCTCCGATTTCCCGCGCCTTCATTTTTTCCTTCCTACTATCTTTTTTTTTTTTTTTTTAACATATAATGTATTATTTGTTTCAGAGGTACAGGTCTGTGATTCAACACTCTTACACAATTCACAGCGCTCACCATAGCACATACCCTACCCAGTGTCTATCACCCAGCCACCCCATCCCTCCCACCCCCCACCACTCCAGCAACCCTCAGTTTGTTTCCTGAGATTAAGAATTCCTCCTATCAGTGAGATCATATGATACATGTCTTTCTCTGATTGACTTATTTTGCTCAGCATAATACCCTCC